CTGTTTATCAGATGATCTACTCCAAAACCACATCATCTTGTTGCATAACAAATATATTAAAAGTTTACTTTTAAGATCAGCACCATTAAAACCAACAGGATAAATAAATAAGGAAACAATACTTAGAAATCAATGCATTAAATTAAATAATTAACAGAAAGGCACTTCCACAGCCTCTGTCTTCATTCATCTGATCCAGAACCAGCAGTTTGGCCTCCGCTGTGACAAGACGTTTGTTCGTTCTAGTTTTTATAAATGATTGTTTTTACTCTGCTGCACAGCGACGCACAATGTGCTAGAGAAATAAAGTTTACTGTCATTTCTTTCATGTGTTTTTTTTTTCTACCAATGAAAGAAGCAGCTGTTTGTTTTCTCCACTGTGTTGACAGATGAGCTTCATCTTCAGGACAGTAAATCCTGCCTTCATCAGTCGTCAGGTTTCCCTGCATCCTGTTCAGAGTGTTTGACAGTCACACCTGTCTTTGCTAACCTGACAGATGGAAACACATCGGCCTGTTTGAGAGCCAGTGAGGACAGAAAGTTGAACAACGCCCTGTGTAAGCACATCAGATGCTGTGATGTCAGCTCCATGCTGGTGCTGTCGTTCTGTCGCAACGTGGTCAGTGCATCTCCACCACCATCGTCAGATGTGCAAGTCTTCATGTCTGTGTTTGCATCTCACTCAGGACTCTGAGGACAGGTCTGACTCCAGTTCACCTCTCAGTGCCTTTCTCTGTGGCGTCCCCCTGAGGAGGTCTGTGTCCTGCTGCGTGTCCACGTCTATTATACACCACATCCTTCATGTCACCAGGGGAAAATGGCGACCAGAACCATGAGTTAAACTGAGGAGCACGGTGAAGATGCCCCCTCCACCTGTGCTAAGGTTGTGGAGTTGCAGTACCACAAGTGGCCACAGGGGCTGACTGCGGTGCAACATTGGTCGTCACCACTATGATGTCAAAGCAAGTCTCCATCATGACGTGGGACTTGCAGAGGTTGACGCAGTACTCCAGATCTGCTGTGGCCTGAGCCAGAGCCTCCAGGTACTCCTGGGACTCCCGGTCCAGGTCCTGGTCCACGTCGACTGGAAGAACACAGACAGGGACAGAGAGGTCAGTGTTTAATAAAGGTGGGTCAGCGCCGTTAGTACAAACTGGGACTCAAGATATTTGACTGCATTAAATCAAACAAATCTATGGAATATTTCCACCCTTTAGTATGAAAACAATATTTAAGCCTTTATATGCAGCTGTTTACTTGTTTATTTTCTGTTTATTCAGAGATTTTCAGAAAGAGTGACACTGGTTTGAACAGGAGTTGTATTGTAAATGTTCTAGGACAGTTTTTATAAAAAACTAGTTGACTTTGTCAACACAGCAGTAAATATGTGTATCTGAATGTACAGAGTGTTTGTGTAGCAGAGGTATCGTATGTACAGTACATGCTGATTCAGAGTATTAGTAATGTCAGTATACATATTTATAGTGCAACATGAAATCAGTTCATTTCCTGCCCCTATTGTCCCCGTTTGTTTTACTTGGGACATGGACGCACTAACTTTAGATCCAGCGACTGAGCTACAACCTCAGCCCTGTTTTTAAGACTATTTGCTGCCATGTCGTCACAGTGTCTCCACCAGCAGCAGCAGACTGAGCAGCGAGCAGCTCCCGTGCAGTGTCCCAGTGGATGCAGCCGGATCGCTGAAGGCAACGTAATGAGACTCAGGATCCTCAGGCAGGTTCTGCAGCCTTGTCTCCTCTAGGTTCTCACTTGTTTTGTGGCATCAGAGATGTACGGGGAAGTGTGAGTCAGCCTCAGGCAGGTTCTGCAGGTATAAGGAACTCTGTGCTGTTCCTGCTGGTCAGTTTTACCAAGGCAGTTCGATCTTTGAGCAGCCGTTTATCAACTAGATGGAAAGACTTCAGGTTTGTGGCGTCCTCCAGGGGATTCATGTAAGTCAGTATAATGTCCTCCTAAGTGAAGGAAACAGGCCTGTGTGAGTGTTGACAGGACTCTGTATCTTTGCTGTCTCCTAAGGGGACACACAAGGTGATTCATGAGCTCCGACCACGAGCCTCTGTTCTGGCAGCCAATAAGCATCCGAGCTGCTTCTGAGAGGGGATAACCCCTGGGGCGGTTTATCTTTGCAGTCTGCTCCTCTCCAACCACACACCGTGGCTCTGGAACACCCCAAGCTGCTTCTTTGTGCAGCAGATCCAGAAATAGAAGCATAATGGAGGGAGCTGAGCTGCAGAGGACGAGATTTGGTGAAGCTTCGGGCTGCACTGAGCTGGAAACACCGACTATGTTTGGGGTCAGGAGCTGCTCAGTGCACTTGTCTGCTTTGTGCTGTGATAACAGAGGAGGCAGCTGCTAATTCTGCTCAGGAGCTGAATGCGTTGCAGAGAGGAGCAGACCAGGCCTGAACACAGACACAGTGAACACTCTGCCTCCTGTTCAGGTCAGACAGCTGCACACATCTGACTGTCAGCGTATTGGAGGAGCAGGTCTGAACTCACATGCGAGTCCTGCCGTCAGAACGTGGCCTTTAATGGTCAATAAAACAGCCACAGTCAGGGGATTCGCTCCCAGCTGAAGTCAGTCTGCTCTGTTTTCATGTCGAGTTCAGCTGCTGTTTGCCGTCACCCTGGTGTTTTGACCTGTCCCTGTTATTTTAGGAAAGAGGTTTGAAAACCGCACACAGTTTCTCACTGGGCTGGGTCTCTGGCTGGTACTCACACTCTTCGCTCCACTTATGCGGATGCAGCATCAGCCGGCTCTTGGCCTCCTCCAGCTCCACCTTCAGCCTCTCGTGTTTGCTCTTCAGCTCTCTGATCAGCTGCTGCCGCTTCTCCAGCATCCTCAGCCGGGCGTTGAAGTAGAGCAGACCCTGAGGAGCAGACAGAGCCAAACACTGAGTCAAATACACCACAAACCTGGGCCGACTGGGTTCTAACCACCCAACCTGCCCCCGAGTCTGCTGCTGGATTTAATTGGGATCTAGCCAGAGAAGAAATTGGCATGAGCACTAATCTGACAGCTGTGGACTTAATCTGCAGGACAAACCGAGTAGAGGATTAAGGCCATCAGAGGATGGACAGGTGACAGAAGTGGGGGCTCAGTGAAGCCCCTCAGCTTCACTTAATTATACTGTAGGTGGTAGAAGAGTAATGAAGGGAAAGACAAGGATGCAACGCTGCAGTGCTCCCAGACTTTAATGGCACAAGTGCTGCAGGGATTATTATCTTTATGTACATTTTTGTAACTCTTCTGGCATTTAAACATAATTACACAGGGACGAGGTAACAAAGTTTGTTATCCCTAACCCAAGCACTGAAAGAGTGCATGGAAATAAGTGGGGTGGGGAGCTGACTCATATGGCGCAGTCGGCTCCGCCTGCGACACCCTCTCCTCGTATCAAAACCCATCACTGTGTATAACTGGTGAACCCTGGTAATGACATGGATGACTTGGACTCCAGCTGTGTAACTACAACACATTCACAGCTTCTATCAGCAGCGTTGTCCTGCAGACAGAAGCAGCTGAGGCTGTTTCTGCATGGGATAAAAACATTACAGGATATAAAATCCACCAGCAAACAGCAACATGGTCAGACGCTATGATCTGACATCACAACGCTGAGAGAAGCACTGACAGCGTGTTGTTGGATGTACCACACAGCAGCGATGTGGTTATCAGCCAGTTAGTCCATGAAAACTGCACAGCTGTCATCTGCAGTTCAGAAAGCTGCAGGCTCTGGTTTGTCACTACTTCACCATGAACACGTGCCTCATGTGGAAACAAACCAGTGTCCGTTCTGGTTCCTCTGGGTCACACTCAAGTGTTCGATTCATGTAGGAGCCTGGTTTATCTGGAAAGCTGCAGGGCACAGTCTGCCTCAACATTCACCGGTGGTCGGCTTTATCTGATGCTTCATACGTGCTATAGATGTTCTGTAGACATTCAAGGATAAAAAACACGAAGCCACCGATTTACAAAGGACCTCATTTCCCTGAATCTCTACAGCCGAGGAGGGCGAGCGCAGGGTCACACCAGCCACATTCATGGGAGATACTCCCGAGTGAAATGAAGTGGCAGACTGAATCTCAGCCTGCTGACCGCCAACCTTCCCCTGTTAGAAATATGACTCACCTTTTCTACATCATGGAACGGCTGCTGAGAGAGGAGAGAAACAGGACAGTCGTCAGACACGTCACACTCTGTGATGAAGTGCAGCTCATCTTCTTCTAATTGAAAATAAATCAGATGAATTGATGTCTCTCTTTCCCCTGACACACTTTTCTCTGCTCTGAGGGTTAATGATCCATGAAGACAGAGCGAGGCCAGCCTTCATCCGTCACTGTGCCCCCCCCACCCCCCAGACAGCCCTCACATCAAAGCCAAATAATAGAAAACTGTAAGTGACTCAGCCCGAGGACGGTGACGCTGTGGAGCAGACAGGCCACCACAGCGCCACCCTCCATCATTAGCTCCAGGACATTATTCAAACATACAACAGTAAAACATTAACTGCTCTGCAGACGACACCCAGCTGAGTCGGGATCATGTCTGAATGTCATGTTTACCTGAGAGAGAATTCATAAGAACTGGTGAATGTGACAAATGTTCCTGTGACTTAAGAAGAGCTGTTTGTATGACTGTGTATGAGGAGGCCCAGTGTTCGTACTATGGCCCAACCAACCGGAAACTCGCTGGTATTTAACCCCGTCCTGAGTAGATGGAGTCCAACTCACCTCTGAAGCTGTCGCGACCTCCCTCCTCCTCTGCAGCTGCTCCACGTCATCGATCTCGTACACCTTGATCTCAAAGGGCTCCTTCAGGGTGCCACCCAGAGGGGGCACGTCCACCCACTGAGCCCCCACCTTCCTGCCCAGACAGGAGGGGTCGGGGAGGGGAGCTGGGATCAGCCGCCGCCGCAGGAACCCTGCCCGAAGGAAAGAGAATACAAACATGTAGTAACGCTTCCTCATGTGGCCTGTTATTTACACAGCAGTTGTGAATCAGGTCCGAGAGAAACACCAACAGCTTCCTCCTGGTGCTTTAACGCAGTAACATGAAATGTAGCTAAGGCCAGGGGTTTATTAAAATATAAAAAGGTTTAGTATCCAGGAAGCAGGGATGTGATCAGCACGACAGATGTTAATCATTCCGTACGCTGGAAGATCTGCTGCCCTGGTACCTGCCAGTGTTCTCCTAGCGGCCGGCCGCGGCCGTGTGTGTTGACACGGCTTCATCATTTATTTTGGTTGTTTTTCTATAGATCAATTAAACCTTTTTTTATGGCTATAAAAATTGTCACTTGTGAAAGAACCAAAAGGCAACAGCTCGTGCTGGATCATAAAAGTGAATTTAGCCTGTATTACTTTTCCATCCTCTCCAGTTACTATTGAAATGATGTGGTTTATGTTTAATGCTCACATTTCACATTCAGCAACTATTTCTCAGTGTATTGATTCACACAGTGAGAGTCATAAACTCATCTCTTCTGGAGAAAATTAACATATTTATGGCTTTTCCCAGCTATCCGAGTGTGTGATGTTGGGATGAAAGCCTCTGTTCAGTCCACTATTTTCATGCCTGCAGAGGGTGGGCACCGCTGCCCTCCTCCCTGATGTTTCCCCACACAAACATATCCCTCAGCCTAGCGTTATCCTGAAAACATCCATATCCAGGCCCCATTATGTGGAGCGGCACTGGAGTGTGCTCTGCCTCATGGTGGCTGACTGGGGTTGATGGCAGCAGCGACACAGGTCAGGCAGCCCGATGCATTCACAGTCAGTGCTCGTGTGATCTGCCCGCCATCAGTCGGCGGAGCTTGGCTCCTTTCTACCTCATGAATGTTTCATGAAGCTGTTACAATTCCCGGTGTTCAATCCAACTCCAATTATCACCCACACACCCTCCCTCCCCATCCACTCCACAGCATAAACACCCCCCACATCCTTCTCTCCAGTCTGCCACTATTCCTGAGTCCTCAGTTGGAGACCGAAGAGCTGGGATAATTAGCAGTGGCTCTTTGTTTTGGTGCACGCTGTTGCTTTTGGTTTTACTCTGCAGTTATGAGAGTCAGCTCTCCGACAGCCAGTCATTAAGAATAAGACTGGGCTCTTTAGGTTGACAACATGGTGTTAAAACCTTATCAGCAGTGCAAATGGCTGTTGACACAGAACAGAGGTGGTGGTGGTGGCACTAAACCAACGGAGAAGATGAGGCAAATTAAAAAGAATGAGCCACGTCTTTGTACCCGACTACTGAAGAATAAAATAAATGACTTCATCTGACCTGTTTTTAATGGCTCCATCAATTTCAACAAGACTGCTTTTCATCGTTTAATACTTTAATTTCTCTAATCCAGAATTTGTGCCACCCACTTTCTACCCCTGCAACACAAACTCACCATTTCCTCTCTTCTTGGGGGATTTAGAAACTCTGCTCCTATTGGACGAGGACACTCCGCTCTCACTCATGGAGTCGTGTGCTGAAGAGGTGCTTCCCGTGGTCTCGCTGTCTCGGATCATGCTCTCATAGCCGCTGCTCCCCCCGCTGTGGTAAAACAGGGCTGTGCGGCCCATGGCAGGGGGCAGCTCCCCGCTGAGGATGCTGCTGTTGTCGCTGCCGTGCCCGCTGCGGTCTGAGGCCTGCGAGGTGCGGTGATCTTGCTATAAGGGGACGGCAGTGGTGTGGTGACTGGTGCCCCACTCACACTACTGGTCCCACTGTCACTACCATCATTTCCTGCCAGTCCAGGGCCCCTGCTGAGCTGTTTCTTTGGGCTCCCAGCTGCTAGCTCGCTAACGCGGCTGTTAGCTGCCCTGTTGATGGCCTGCTTCATGCCCATGATGGTGCCTCGTCCTGTCTTGACTCCTGTACCAGAGCGTACAGGGGACTTAGCAGTTGGAGGCAGGCTGGCAGTCCGTCCAGCTGAATTATCAGGGGGTTTTGGGGAAGAACCCGGGCTCTTAGAACTGCTGGAAGACAGTGTCCGAACCTTCAATCCACAAGAAACTGCTGCTCGTGAGCTGCTGCCACCTCGGACCTTGCTTGTCGTTGCAAAGACACCAGGAGAAACTTGTGACGAAGCAGATGTGGAGGCTGGAACTCCGAGCCTTGGCACTGATCTGTTGGATCTGCTGTTACCTCCTAAAGCGGCACCACTGTTCTCCCTGGACATCTCAGTCCTGTACCCAGCTAAAGTCTGACTGTCACATCTCTCCAGAGACATCAGACTCCCATAGTACCTGTAAGAATCTGCTCTGGCTCCTCGTGTCTTTAGACTTGAAGATGCCCTGGCTGAGCCATGTTCGGTTTTCAGACTGGATGTCCTGTGGCTGAATGATTCTGCCCGAAGCCTGATACCAGATTGTTCCTCTGAAGTGGATGTTTTAGGGAATGAAGACTTTCCAATGTCGCCGCTTGTTTTTAAGGCACTTGGAGACGGCACAGGCCTCGTCTTTTGTTCCTGGCTGGACTGTCTGACAGGCGGAATGGGAGCAGAGAGGTTTTCAAACCCAGACCTGGAGATCACGCTGCTTTTCTGGCCATTTGACATTTTTCCCAGAGATGCAAACCTCAGTGTACCTGTCACTGAAGCGCCCTCATGAGCCCATTTGGATTCAGAACTCTGGGGGCTAGAAACATTTCCTAGAGTTGTTGCACCTCGGGTGAATTGTGGCAGCTTGATGGGAGTATCTGCTCTCCTGCTGTTGGACTTCTCACAACCGTCCACGACCCTCTGAGCTGAAGACAACACTGGTGCCTTTGGCGGCCGAGGTACGCTGTTACTGTTCCCTCGTGGCCTCTTAGAGGAAACACTACTTGTGCAACTTCTTGATGGTTTACCTGCAGAGGGAAACTCATCCTGTCTGGGATCAAAGTGACTGGTTCCCTGAAGCACAAAGTCATCATGTCTGCCCTCCTGTCTGCTGCAGCCCATAGCTGCAGATGAAGTAGGCTTCGTTTTCCTGGGAAGACTGGAATGAGTTGCATGACTGGAGATCTGGGCTGATGCTGAAGCGTTCAGAGTACTGGCTCTCACTTTGGCAGAACCTTTGAGAGAAGCTTTGGTCGAGTCGGGGGAGGGAGGGTGCTTGGTAAGAGATAGTTTGCTTGATGCAGCAGGGTCGCTGTCCAGCTCTGAGAAGCAGATGCCACTGTCATTCAGGGAGCTCTTGATGCCATGCTGCAAAAATGTCAGTTTATGAAACATACTTGGTGAGGTCAGAGCTGATGCATTGTCTGTTGCCATGATTTGGTCCCTCAGGTAAAGCCTGCTTGTTGAAGTGCCTTCACTTTCAGCTGACTCAGCACCTACTTCACCTGACCACAAGACAGGAGATGACCGATCGTTGCTACATTGGGAACACCCTTCCTGACTGTTGGAGCCAGCATCAGCTCCAGGTCCCCCAGTTCTCTGCTGAGATGTGTAGGCATCATAGTCATCATTAATGCTGCTGATGATGCTGACAGGGCGAGAGGCGAAGGCCTGCAGAGAGCAGTCACTGCTTAAGCCGAGGAGGTTGGAAGGGCAGCCATTGTTTGGGATGAGGCTGCGTGGAAGTTCCTCTATGACCGTGAAGACAAGCTCATCCTCCCCATTCAGTTCTACAGGCTGCTGCAGTGTAACTGTAGTCAGAAAATCCCTGTCCAGGCATCTGCCTAACAGAGCTCCCTGGAGGTTGCTGAGCTCCATGGGGCACCTGCTTGTAAGAGGGGCCCTTTCCACACTCAGTGACCCCAGCGACTGCTTCACTGCTTGTTGACTCATGCCCACTGGGGGAGTCCTAGCAACAACCTCCCCAGGCTGAGGTACTGATGTTCTGGGCAAGGATGGAGGGGCTGACTTGAGTGCACCTCCTTTGAGGTAAACCTTCCCATGTGCTACAGGCTCTGAGCCTTGGGAAAATGTCCCACTGGGTTTTACCACACATGGCTGAGAGGGGGGGGCTGACAGTTTCTTCCCATCTGCACTTGTACATTTGGGAGCGTCGATGGGGCAGCCAGCTGCCGGGAATCTGGACTGTATCTTATCTGGTTTATCTGTGCATGTGGTTGGTGCACTTTCTAAGAACCTTTGGCAGGAGTCCTTATCAGGTTTGGGTGGGGCTGCTGCTGCTGCTTGTGCTGCTTTGCCCTCTGTGCTGAACGAGGCTGGGCCCTCGCTGCCATCAATGCAGTCAAGTCTCTCCTGCAGCTCTGCAAACGTGTTACACTTGAGGTGATCGCCGTCAGACCTGGGTGCATCTTTGACTAGCTTTTTGTTTAGGGAGGGGATGATGGGAACAAAGGAGGGCGGTCCCTCATTGTCACTCAGTTCGCGGTCTGAGACGGCCATCCCTCCAGGCCTAACATAGATAACGGTGTCGCAGGAGTGTTCACTGCTGGATGAATAATCCGGATCACTGGAGAGCATGAGGGGCATGTCTGGGTCCAGGGCCACGATGTGAGGGTGGAAGGGTCGAAGGTGAGGAGGATGACAGGATGGGCCTTCCTCACAGGAACTCTCCCCCCCTGATGAGCTGGAGGCATGCTGCAGATAAAACAGAAACACAGAATTTACATAACCAGAGAGACTCCAACCACAGACACTGTGGGCTAGGTTCAAATTAAACTCTTTATTTAATTTTAGCTCTTATGTAACAACCGATTAACCCCTAACATCTCAGTATGCTCTTTATATTTGTCCAGTATTAAATTCTGAGTTGTGAATTTGTTCTTCAACATGGTATAGTTCTCTCTACATGTTCTTCTTGATCTGGCCCAGAGAAAAATGTTCAATATTTTCTGTGCTCCACTGAATTAAATTTCTTATCAGTCAGGTTTCCCCGATTCAGCCCGAGGTACGTTGGTATATCTGGGACTGTGGGTACAGAGGATGTCAGTAAGTCCCACTCCTCCAAACAAGTTTTTCATTTACAGAAAGTCACTGCACCCCACCGTCTTTTCCTCCCTATATTTTATACCTGTGGAATAAAATAGAGGTCAAATTTAGTTTTTTAGTTTTCTTTCAAATACTGGTGGTTCTGGTGTGGGAATGTTTTAAACTCGAGTCTGTGTGCTGGACAGGAACAAGCTCATATGGGATTTCTAAACCTTGAACTTTCAGAGCTCACATTTCTGACGTCCTGTGTACCAGCTGTACTTGATCCTGTAAGTGTCTGTCTTTTAAAAGGCCTGAACAAACTCCCTCCAGTACCGGTGAACAGAAAAACATCCCATTAAAACTTCATTATCACAGAAATATGTTGTGACAAAAACATTCAAACTTCTACTCAGCTCAAGTTGGAATTAACTGGCAAAATAAAATCCCCAGACTCCCTCAGTTCAGCTGATGAAGCCCAGCAGACCTATCTTTGGTCTTCCCCAAGCTGAACCAGAGGTCCTTGACCTCGCTGAGCTGCAGAGACCAACCCTGAATAAACCCTGAGCTACCTTGGACTTCTTCCTCACGTGGTGGATGCGGGAGGCCAGCTGCACTGTGGTCAGCGTCTCCATGTAGTTCGCCGGGGAGTCGGAGATGTGGGCGATCATGGTGGTTTGACAGTTGATGTTGCCCAGGGATTCACTGAGCAGCATGGTGAGCTTGCTGTCCCTGAATAATACATCAAGACAGATCTCGTTAGAAAAAATAAAGAGTAAAGATGCACCACAGACGTGAGAAACCTCGCAGGATCCCAGAATCAATCATGACACCAACACCTGGCAAAAAGAAACAGGAAGAGTCTCTGGTTTCATATTAGTGAAGCCCATTTTGAAGCACACGCCACGTGATGGAGGGATGTGTTCGTGAAATCCTGCCTTCAGAAAGACCCAGAGCGCAGCATCACGTTTCATTGAAATACTACAATCCCAGCCTTTTCTACTTTATTTAGTCCAAACAATCTTTTTCTAGGTCACAAGCTTTTTGCTGCCTGGCTCAGTAATTTCACTATAAATGTGTTTCCACTGAACCGTTTGACACAAATTTTGGAAAACTGGAAGTGAATCTGTGTGTTTTCATCATCTACCTCCATGTGAATAGATTCAGGAGGAGGTTACCTGATAACTGAACACTTAGAGATGGACCCCCCCAACAAGGACCCCTGTGTAGATTTGGAAATTATAAAAGAGCATGAAATCAGATGGAAGTGAAACAAATGATGCCAAACAACAACAGCTTAAAAATGAGCCAAAAGTGGGACAAAGTTCCCAGACACAAGCCTGAGGACAGAGACGGCAGTCGACAAACCAGCCAGGCTGCATAACAAACACCCAGAGGACTGACTGAGCAGCATTACAGTGATTTATTCATCAGACTAATCAACCATTTCAGATCGGCTGAAACCTCATTAAAAATGCATTAACGTCTGTCTGCCTGGTTCGTACGCGTTTCCCCTCTCAGGGATGTACAGGCACCCTGACCTTTGACCCCTGCTGGTTCATTAAAACGCCCCAAGTGAGAGCCCCTCATACCTGAAGGGAACGTGCTCGGCCCCGTTGGTGAGGGCGAGGATGACGTTTCCCAGCGCAGACAGAGACAGACATTGACCTCCACCCCCCTCTCTGGTCCTGCTGATGTCTGTCTCACAGCTCCCCAAATCCAACAGGTGGAGGCGACTCCGACCAGACACTGAGACAGAGAGACGATGTTTTTAAAAGACGGCGTACAGGTGTGCACGTAGTTTGTTTAAAGCTTCGCCAGGAAATTGATCCTTTTATAGACAAAGCAGCAATTGAGGGCCATTTTAATAACTGATAAGAATTTATCAAATAAAAACAAACATTAGCTGTCACAAGACAAGAAGGCGTCGTTTTCAACCTTCTGCTCTTTATGACATCACACTGACCTTGTACATAAAGTGTGAGAATCTTGGATAAGTTTGTGTCTTGGTTAAATGTGAAAAAATGTTTGTGGACCCTGGGCTATATGACAGCTGAAGCTATGAATCTGATTCTCTGAGTGAACAGGTCACTGACGGACTAGTAGAACCTGCTGAGAGCGGCTCAGGGAACCGTTTTATACAAGCCGAACACTGCAGGACACAGAGCCTCATTAGCCACACAGAGTTATTCCAGCCGTGGACAGAGCAGCAGTGAATCACTAATAGCTGTGGAGCCGCCTGTGCTGTCACAGGTAGACGGGGGTGGAGGTGATGCTAGTGCAGCCTCTCTGCTGGTTAATGCTCTTGTGGAGCACGCTGGCAACTATACGTGAAGCTAATTAGCAGCTACGCTCAT